GCAGAAAAGAGAGAGTTTTTGGAGATCCAAAAACGAGTTCTAAGTCTCGAGATTTCTCGGTGCACAAATCGAATTGAGATTCGAGTCCTAGCAGACAAGTTCCAATCGTTGGAATCCATCCCGAGGTGTGGATACGTGTAGAGGGCGAGGTAATCTTCCTGCCTTTCGTGATCGAACGAATTCTTCAGTTGATACAGGCCCCGGATCGATTGAGGTAAGCGTAACGTTTCTACGATTTCAATAGTAGCATGGTTCTAGGGTTTATTAAATTTTTGTTTTACATCCGCTGCGCAAACCCTAGAATCGATCTCTTAGGAATAGGATTCGCTCATGAGATCCCAGGAAAACCCAACACCGATGACCATCCACCGTTGGTGTATGGAACGGACCCCAAATGTCTAGATGCAACAAATCAAAAGGATGAGAAGACAAATGAGGAGAATGCGGAAATGATAAAGACTTTTGTTTTGCCAAAGGGGAAACATCACAATGAGATTTATTTGATGAAGAAACAGAAAAACGAAGTTGATCCAAGCCAGCAAGACCATGAATCTTGATATCGGACGGATGACCAAGACGGTGATGCCAGACATCGAAACCAGCGGAAGGAGTATTATTGCAAACTGAAGAAGAAACCAAAACAGGAGGAAGCGGGAGAGGATCCATGTCCAGAAGATAAAGGTCATGGCGACGGCTACCCTTGCCAATCGTCAACCCCCGAGAAAGGTCCTGAATAGAGTAAGCATCAGCAAAGAAAGTCACAGAGTAAGAAGTGTGTTTGGTAAGAGAGCTGATGCTAAGTAAATTAAAATGAAATGATGGAACATATAGAACAGAAGAAAGAGTGAGTAGAGGTGAAAGGAAGACAGTTCCTGACTGAAACACTGTAATCGAATCACCAGTTGGCAAAGAGACCGAGATTGGTGAGATGTCACTCATATCAGAGAACAAGGTCTTGTCATAACAGACATGGCTGCTGGCACCGGTATCTAAAATCCAGGTTGTAGAAGAAATGGGAAAATATGGGTTAGCAGTAGAAAAGAGAGGGCGAACAGGAAAAGTACCGGAGGAGTTCAGTGGTTGGGCTGCAGATGTACGATCAGCGAGAGAGTTGCTAAGCCCCTGAAGTTGATTGCTGAAATGCGAAATCAGAGAATGTGCCTATGCGAGAGCCGAAGCGCCATGCTCCGGTGCAGAAGAGCCAATAGTAGGAGCATCTGACATTGTGCTAACCATATTAACACGGTGTTGACTATTCGACGATGGTGATGGGAGAATACCAGAATGATTCCAGGAATTTGGTGCAGTTGTGCGTGATCCGGAAGATGCCAGCTTGTGGCCACGGGGATAACCATATATTTTGAAGCAACGAGAAACTGTATGACCGAAGAGACCACAGTGAGTGCACTGAGGCTTGGACTTGTTCTGTGGTCGAGAGCCAGTTCCATGAGCCTGAGAATGGAATGCCACAGAATCAGAAGGGGAAGTAACAAGTCTTTGTTGTTCTTCCTGGGAAATCAGATTGTAAGCCTTGGTGATATTAGGCAGCGGCTCCATCATCAAAATTTGCCGACGAGCTGGTGTAAATGACTCATTGAGACGCATAAGGAAGCGAACCACATTCCGAAGATCGTAGAATTCCTCCCATCGTTTCACCAAGTTGCACGAACAACCATTACAAGTACAGGTCGGGAAAGGCTCATGATTTTTGAGCTCTTCCCAAAGACCAGTCAACTTGGTAAAATATGCGTTCAAGTCCAAAGATCCTTGATGTAAACCGTCAATCTTCTGCTGGATATTGTATATCTTCGAAACATTTTTCTGTTTGAACCTATTCTCCAAACTGACCCACACGTCATGCGCATTATCGAGATAGATAATGAGACTGGAAATGTCGGCAGAAACCGAATTGTTGATCCAGGTACAGACGAGATCGTTGCACCGAGACCACAACCCAAAATCAGCAGCATCGTGTGAAGGCTGCGAAAGTGAGCCATCAACAAACCCGAGTTTGTTTTTGGCGTTGAGAGCCTTCAACATCGACCGAGACCAGACATTGAAGTTGGATTCGCCAATGAGTTTCTCAGTATTGAGCGAGGTGCTGGATGTGTCGGCAGCGTGAAGATATAAAGGGCTAGAGTAGGGATCGGATGGTAAGGAAATCATGGGGGTAGGCGTAGGGGTGGACAGATCCGACGAAGAATCAGTCGAAGCAGAGGACATTATGCCAGATAAAGGAAAAAAAATAGAAAAGGCAGGCGGAGCTTTAGTGTTGCTCTGATACTATAATAACCGGAGCAATGGTAGTGCTCTGTTACGGACGACCAAAACAGGGAGAAACAGAGGAGTCTGTGTTTAGAGAAAGTCAAAGTGGAAAAGTTTTCCTTGTATTCATATATGCGATCGGTATAGAACTTATATACAGGAAGAAATAAACAAACTTTCCTATACATCAGTTATAAGTGATAAGAATGAAATCTGTATAGATAGAACAACCATAACAACCTGTAACAAACACTATACTTTGACAATAACATCTTCTTAATTTTCCGAGCATTCAAATCTGAATCCGCTCTAAGGTCATCGAGTATCAAGCGGGCAATTTTCCGTGCCGTCAACAATCTGATTTTGCAGTTCCAAGAACACGTATGCAATTTTTTAATGTTTTGACAACAAATCTTCCTGAATCCTTATCCAAAGACGCATAAATCTTCCATTTACACCTTCCATACCACACTTCCCCTCAATTCTGTCACTTATTGACTTCTTGTAATATAAATTACACTTTTCATCTATAGCATAATCATCCACGGCCTTTTTAAATAAATCTTTGCTTAAAAAACATTGTCCTACTTGAAAAGGCTTCTTTTTACCGTCATCACTTGATTAGTCCATATAACCATCATCTATTTCATCATTGCTTTTTTCTTTTTCATCATCACTATGATCTCTACCATCATTATTCCAATCTCCATCGTCACCATCACCTTCTCCATCATCCCGACCTTATATATGGCTAATTTTACTTTCACATACTCTACTTCTACCATCATCATTATTTCCAAAAATTGTTCCAATATATAACTCATCATCACTGCCATTATCTAACTCTATGTTGGTTTAGTGCACTATAATGTACTGTTTATGAGATTTATTTAGATACATTTGATGTATTGATACTTTCTATGGTTTATGAGAGTATTTGATTCATTACATGTTCTTGCATACTAGATGTGTTATGAAATCCATGTATCATTATGAATGATACTAAACTCCCTAGTCTTGTGTCATTATGGGAATGATGACATAATAAGACTAGTATGATGTGTGATTGATGATCGTATAGATTATCATGGGTATTGGATACGATCACAGTCATAGGTATTCGTTGGAGAACGGAATACTGGATTGACCCGCATGAGATTGTCACATGGACTAGCGTCATGA